CCTGTTTTTGTTTCTTTGGAGTTGTTTGCTTTTTGTTTTGTTGTTTTGTAGAAGAAATCTTAAACCACTTGAGATGTGACAGTCCCTGAGGCTTTACGTATTAAAACTTAAGAGGAGTTGGTAGTATTTGCAGTAAAAACTGCAGGCTCTGTGCATAAGAACATAAAATTTTAAAACCTATTCTCACAGCTGCAATGAAGAAATTTCTAGTATGCCATCACTGGTGACTCACAAGTTGTGCTTTATAACTCTAGAGTATCACTTATTCATATGAAAAGCCTTGTCTCAGGAGATTTATCAATCTGAAAACTAAATTGTTTTACAGAGAAAATGAATTTCTCTTTGATTGGCAGGTGTTTTAATGCCTGTGTAGCTTTAAAATTTATATTTGTAGTCTTAAAGTGGCTGAATCTGAACGCAGAGTGTTACAAATATCTCTAAAAAAATTACTGAAAAGAAGCCTCAGCTGTGTGTATACATTTCACTTAAGGCACATAAATTTAAAAATAAAAATTTATTAAAGAAAGTAAAGACGACTATGCACTATGATTTTCTTATTAAATAGATTTATGAAGTGTCTATAAATCCAGTTCATGCCAGAGAATATATGAGGTCAAAAGACCTTCTCTAACTAATTTGGCCATTCAGTGGAGAGAGATGTAGATCTTTTAGAAAAGTCTAGAACTTTTTAAACAATCAGCTAATTGCTGATTGTGGAAATGCTTATTAAAAATGTCAGTGTCTCGTGTTTACTTACATGTAACATGGGCAGCACAATGTTTATTTTGTAGTATTGAGTCAGAAAATGAATAAAAATTATTTAACATAGATTTTTGCCCATAGAGGATGCTGAATAATTAGCTGTTATACAAATGAAATTTCAGGGGTGCCTGGGTGGCTCAGTCAGGTGTCTGACTTCAGCCAAGGTCATGATCTCATGGTTCGTGAGTTTGAGCCCTGCATCAGGCTCTGTGCTGACAGCTTAGAGCCTGGAGCCTGGTTCAGATTCTGTGTCTTCTCTTTCTACCCCTCCCATGCTCATGCTCATGCTCTGTTTCTCTCTCTCAATAATGAATAAACATTTAAAAAAATGAAATTACTCACTGACTTATTTATTTCCCTTTTAGGTTAAAAAAGCAACTGGCATTTTATCTTACATAACAAACACAGATGAGTTTCAGTATTTTCTTTTTTGATTTAAAACTTAAAAATTTTTTTGTTTCTCTGATTTAAAATTGGAGAGATTTCCAGTCTGCTTCTTCAGCATATAATTATTTATCACTTCCCAGCTGTTTTATCTTAGCCGTCACAGCTACTGAGGTTAATGTCATTAGGGCAGGAGCTAGAAGCCAATTAAAAAAAAAAAAAAAAAAGAAGAACTCACTTTTATTTGATGGATTACTGATATAGAAGTCAAATTTCCTAACAAAAAATACATTTCAGTGATTAGAAACAAATAGTATGTTGTAAAATTAAAGGTTCATATGTTTAAAATATAAAAACTTATAAAACGTTTGAAAAACAATTAGGTAAACTTTCATATTCTAGTCATGAAAAACTATATTTAAAAGGCACTAGAAGTATTCTTTCTTAACATGATAAGTTATAATCACATTCACTATTGTACACACACACACACACACACACACACACACTCAGGATCACGTTTCCAGTACTCAACTTTCACGAACAATGTTTAGCAGCAATCACATTAAAGTCATTACCTAAATGCCTATTGACATCAATGTTATTTGTTGTTAACTATCGAACAAAATAAGGAACACCTGGGTGGCTCAGTTGGTTGGGCGTCTGACTTCGGCTCAGGTCATGATCTCACAGATCATGAGTTCAAGCGTCGCATTGGGTTCAGTGCTGACAGTTCAGAGCTTGGAGCCTGCTTCGGATTCTGTGTCTCCCTCTCTCTCTGCCCCTCTCTCGCTCACACACTGTCTTTCTCTCCCAGAAATGAATAAACATTAAAAAAAAATTTAAGAACTTTTTAAAATCATTTCTCACAAGATAAATTAACTGGCAACAAATTCCTTCATTATTTTGTCTGAGAAAGTATTTCTCCTTTACCTCTGAAGGACAATTCCACAGTCTACAGAATTCAAGGTTGGTGTTTTGTTTTGTTTTTTTCTCTCTCAATTCTAAATATTTCATTTAACTCTCTTGTTGCTTGCATGGTTTCAGAGGAGAAATTAGATGTAATTCTTCATTTTGTTCCTCTGTAGGTAGGGTGTTTTTTTTTTTTTTTTTTTTTTTTTTTTTCTCCACTGGCTCATTTCCAGATTTTTGTCTTTAGCTTTAATTTTCTGTAATTTGAAAATTATATGCCTAGGTGTAGTTTTGTAATTTTGTTTTGTTTTATGTTGGCATTTGTCCTGTTCTGGTGTTCTCTAAGCTTCTTGGACCTGTGGGTTTGCTGCTGATGTTCATTTGGGGAAATTTTCAGTCATTGCTGTCTCAAATATTTCTTCTGTTCCTTTCTCTTTGTCTTCCTCTTCTGTTATTCCCATTTTGTGTATGTTATACCTTCTGCAGTTGTCCTACAGTCCTTGGATCTTCTGTTCTGCTTTTTTTTAGTCTTCTGTTTGCTGTTTTGTTTTGGAGGCTTATATTAATATATCCGCAAGCTCAGAGATTCTTTCCTCAGCTCTGTCCTGTCTACTAATAAGTCCATCAAAGACATTTTTCATTTCTGTTGTAATGTTTTTTATCACTAGCATTTCTCTCATAGAATTTCCATCTCTCTGCTTACGTTGTCCGTCTGTTGTTGTATACCGTGTACTTTACCCATTAGAGTCCTTAGCATGTGAATCATACTTTTTTTACATTCACTGTCTGATAATTCCAACACCTCTGCCACGTATGCTTCTGAGGCTTGCTCTCTTAACTCTTCAAATTGTGTTTTTTGCCTTTTGGTATGCCTTGTAATTTTTTTTTATAATAGCTGGTCATAATACACTTGGTAAGTGAACTATTATAAATAGACCTTTTATAATGTGATGATGAGGGGTGGGGATAAAGGAAGTGTCCTATAGTCTTATGATTAGGTCTCAGTCTTTTAGTAAGTCTATGCTCTGGACCGTGAATGCCACAACACTCTCTCAGGATTTTTCTTTCCTGTTTGGTTGGACAGGATGGTTAGAATGAGCTGGGGTTCGGTATTTCCCTTTCCCCAGGTCGGTTAGGCTCTGGTAATACCTCAGCAGGTGAGGCTCTGATTAACTAGTGGTCCCTGAGGGAAAGCCTGTTAAGAACAGTGTACTCTGGTTTATTTCAAATTTGCTGCTTTTCTCTTCCTTTTGCTGGAAGCATGAGAAGATTTTCTCCAACATTTACATTGGGAATTTGGTTGAGCTCCTGCAGGTAGATCTCACAAAATTATTAGAGCCTTCCATTGACTGTGTGCCCCTGGAGTTTTTAACTCTCAGACTACTGAGCCTCCAGCAATTTGTCAATTACTGTTGGGTTTTCTATGCAGGCATTGGTTCCCAGGTGGTTTACACTTCCGAGTCCCTGCCCTAGTAAGCCTCAACTCCCTATATTCACCTGTCTGTCTCTCTTTTGGGACAGCAGTTTGCCCTGTGTCCTTTCTTATGGGCCAAGAAGGGTTATTGATTTTTCAGTCTGTTCAGCTTTTTACCTGTTAGGATAGAGTGGCAACTTCTAAGTGCTTTGCATGCAGAACTGGAAATCAGAAGTCTTAAATTAGATTTAAATCAAGTAAACTTAGAAAATATTTACAACATATATAATTAACAAAGCTTTAAACATTATATAAAACTTGGTTTTTTTCAGGGACACCTGGGTGGCTCAGTTGGTTGAGTGCCCCACTCTTGATTTTGCCTCAGGTCATGTTACCAGGGTTGTGGGATCAAGCTCCGGGTCCAGCTCTGCACTGAGCACGAAGCTTGCTTAAGATCCTCTCTCTCTCTCTCTCTCTCTCTCTCTCTCTCTCTCTCTCTCTCGGTGCCTGGGTGGCTCAGTCAGTTAAGCATCCCATTTCGGCTCAGGTCATGAACTCGCTGTTTGTGAGTTCGAGCCCCACGTCTGGCTCTGTGCTGACAGCTCAGAGCCTGGAGCCTGCTTTGGATTCTGTGTCTTCCTCTATCTCTCTGCCCCTCCCCTGCTCATGCTCTGTCACTTTCTGCCTCAAAAATAAATAAAACATTAAAAAAAAAAAAAGATTCTCTCTCCTGCTGTCCTTCTCCCCCACTTGTTCTCTTTCTGAAATAGAAAAAAATTCTTTTTAAAAACAACCAATAAAATATTTTTTACGAACTCTGAACAGTCATTTCACAATGTAAGAATACAAATGATAAATGTATACAAAGTTATTGTATTAGTAATCAAGAGAAAACAAATTAAAGTATGAATAATCTATATTTTACCAGTAAATTTCAAATTATTATTCAGTACTTCTGAAGATGTGTGAAAACTCTTCTAACTTACTCTAGACACTTCTATTTGTAGGAATTATCCTTTCCCTTCCCAAACTACGTAACTAGGAATATATAAACAAAGATGTTCATTTCAATATTTTTTTTTAATAGGAAGAGTTAGAAGTAATTTAAATGTATATCTTTGGTGGAATGCTGTAAATTGAGATACAATGAAATAATATCAGCCAATGGAAGTAAATGAAAATATAGCTTTTTATATTTTCAACAATTTCAACAATTAAGTTGGATAAAATCAAATTATAAGGCAATATGTACATTAGAAGCTGCATTCAAATGTTACAAAACATACACTTAAAATCATCATAGTGGTTCTCTCTTGAAAATGATTATACTTTCTACTTTGGTGTTGTTTGCTTTTTATCATGGGTATATTTCTTTTTTCTGAATAAAATAATGTGTTATAATAAAAGTTCTTCCAAGGAGAATAGTAAGAGGTGACTAAGGAAAAACACAGTTAAGTCTTATTATCTGTTCTAGAAGATTAAATAGTTTTTGTAGAGGTGATAATCCCATTTTGTTTTCTCCTGCCAGGGAAAGGTGAGCATGGGAAACCTTACCCCCTCACTGAAGAGGACCATGATGACTCAGCTTACAGGGAAAATGGTTTCAATATTTTTGTCAGCAACAATATTGCTCTAGAGCGGTCCCTGCCAGATATTCGCCATGCTAAGTGAGTATCAGCAAGCCTCCCATGCAGACTAGGTTTCGTCTGTCTGTTTTTTTTTTAAACTATGTTTAATGTGGATCACAGTGAAATATGTAACTAAAAATTTTGCCATAATTTAAAAAAAGTTTATATTTCATAATCTTAAATCTGTTTGGTTTAAATTGGAGTAATTTTTAAAATTAGAGAAGAATAAGTACCCGCTTTCTAAAACTTAATTCACATTTTTATCGTTGCCTGTATCATCTCCATTTAAAGTAAAATGTTTTAAGATAATACCTATATTTTTACTTTTGATCATGTAGATTATAAAGCAAACATCTTTTTCTGGTGATGAGCATTGTCAGAACTGTCTACATATACATGACTTCATTTTCACACCAACCATATTCACTGATTTTGTTATTATATCTTCCATAAAGAATGCCTACAATGAATGCATCCATAATCCAAAGATAATGGTTCATTCCTCAACCATGGATGCTTGTTGTTTGTCAGTTAACAGTGAGTTCAGTTTTTGCCGATTCATAGCTAAATATTATAAGGCAAAAGGAAGTAAGAATGATATTATATATAGTTACCTGAAATCCCACCCCATCTACTCTTAACATTGCTCACTGTTCTTTTTTCTAGTCTGTTATGATTTTCTTGTTAGCATATACATTGCCAAAAGTATGCCAAAAAATATACAATGTGATGGGAATTTCAAGTTTGTAGAATTGCCATACATATTTGATGAATCTATCTAACTATACTAATATGCTTACCCTTCCTTCACCCCAGTCTCCCTGTGGAAACACTAATGTGACATAAAGAAAATCAGAGAAAATAAAATAAGGGCAACTAATGAAAACAGGGGTAGGAATCTAAATCAAATCAATATTGTATAATAAAATTCTCAATTTTGTGTGAAAACAATTAACCCTTTAGAAAAAACTTGGTAAATTATGGTTTGGGGATCATTTTTTAGTGCCATATTGTGTCTTTATAAATTTATTTTAAAATATAAAAGAATTACTGGTTTCCTTCTCAGGTTTTATGTGAATTTGCATTTCCCAGTATAGTTAAGCAGAGGATTAATGTGAAGAACAAATCAATTTTTTCCTAAACTGAATGCTTTATATATTGGTCTAGGCCTTCTAGCTAGCCAAATTATTCCCAGGTTACCTGAAATTATCTACAGTAATTCCCACTGACCGAGAACATTTCTAGTTATGAGAAATTTTAATACCTAATTGCACACCATCAAAGATGCATTAAATTGCATTGTTGGCATAATAAATGTGCTCAGAGAATAATTTCCATCCACCTCCTCCCCCACCCCCACATTTCCAATCTTTTAATGTGTATTCAAGTGGAAAGAATTGCAGATGGAAACAGTGCAGAAAATCACTGAAGTCAAAAGAAGGCTGATATTCCCATTCTTCTCAGAGAGTGTATTTTTAGCATAACTACCACCTTTTGAGAAAAGATCTTCTTAGGCAATAATGGACAAGAAAATGGAAAATGGAAAGAAAAATATTTTTAAATTTTTATTAGACATACTGAGTTTACAGTATCAGAGGGCATTATTCTCAATGTTAGGGAAGATAAATGTGGCTGAAATATGGCCTATGACTATATTATTACTTATTTCCTGAGACTGGTTATCTGATAGGACAGTCACCTAGTAAAATGATACCAACAAAGAAAACGAACAAACAAACACCTTATGGGAGGATTGGAGATGGATGACAGCAAAGGATTAAGTGCAGGACATCAAGAATGAGAGTTTACCTTGGGTAGTCCAGTATCTGACTCAGCAATGCAAGAAGGGAGATTTATTGCTGCCTCATTTTGTCAAGATCCTAACTCTAGGAAATCAAGTGCCTACGACAAAAACTCTTACTGGGATCCCTATGTTTTTGTTTTTGTTTTTTTTTTAAACCTCATCTGTGCTTCTCAAAATGCAGGCGCAGATAACCACAAAACAACACAGCTCTATGTAAGTGGTTCTTGAAATTATGAAAGCACATTGACACATATTGCATTCGGTATTGTCAATTTAACTGGACTGCAGGTAATTGACCACAGCTTGTTTATATTGGCAGTATCTGCACCAGAGAATGCAAAATTTGCATGACTTCCATAATTAAAGATAACGGTTCTAAGAAACTTTGCGTCTGCAGTCAGCCAATTCAAATTACAGGCTCAAAGCGCCAGAAGAGAAGAATTTATTTTTCTTTGCTCTGGGATTTTGTAGTGGAAAGTATCAGGGAATTCTATCTTACAATTCTGCTTAACTTTTTTTTATTCCAAAATACAGAATTGTAGCTCTTAACCCACTGTTCTACACTATAGATCACTCTCTATATATATGCAAGTACTCTCTCTATTCATTCTCTTTTTACATTTAATAAAAAAATCATGGTTCTAGGTGTTTGACATGCTTAGTATACATTCTGGTTTGCTGTGAAGAATTTTCAGAATATGAGTTATTTCAGAAATCCAATCCAGAACACATACTTCTTTTATATGTCCTGCTCCTTTCTTGTCCACTAGCATAAAAATGAAATGCTTTCTTTTGGCTTTATTATTTCACTAAGTCAGTAATAGATTTTCATTAAGTGGGAGCCATGGATACAGGAAAGTCAATTGGCCTGTGTCCAATAATTTAATGATTCTTACCTATATCCTAATAATAAATTCTAAGGTTCTCATTTATATTTTTGAATTTCTTATATTTTTCCAAAATTTTTTAGCATCTCCCTATCTTGTAAATTACATATTTTTTGTTTGTTTTGTTTTGTTTTACTATCTATGCTTTAGTGTTGTCAAATTTTTCAATTTTCTCCTCTTCATACTCATAGCCCTACACTTCTGGTTGACTTTTGTATTTTTTAAAGACCTATTAATACATTTTAAACATTCACTCCCTTCTTCAATTACTACCTAATTATGTCTATATTCATAGTACCAAGGCTCAACCCGAGATCTGTTGTTAAAACATCATCTTTATATTTTACTTAATGCAATGCTGATTAGAATTTTGCTATGAGAGTTTCTGCATGACAAATGTCCAGTCAGTGGATATCTTGCTAGTCTGGCTTCATTTTTCTACAGTTCAATTACCCCTCACTTGTATATCAATTGTGCATTTTCTTTATCTTCCGTCACTCCTTTGGGATGCCGCATCTTTGTATGCTCTAGAACATTTAATTTGACTTCCAGTTCAAGGTGGGAAATATGAAGCATATATTCAGAATACAAAATACATATGAAATAAGGAAGTAGAAAATCGTAGAAGGATAGATGGCTTGCATGGAAAAGAAACTGATAAACTTATGCATGGATGTATTGTTAGCAAGACAAGATTGAAGAATATTTGAGCTAGTATTACTCCCTAGACGTGAATCAATTTATAAGTAGTTACCACAAGTAGTCCCCAAAATGTCATATAATTAATGTGTGCAAGATGAACTTATATCTATAAAGAGAAGAAATGCATGAGATTAGGATGCATAAGAATCAGAGTTGAGGTAGGCTTTGCAGAGGATTCAGGTAAAGGCATCATGACATGAGGTTCATTTTTCACTGTTATAAAAGGATACATGTTTATACAGATACATATTAATGTACAAACACTTTAATTAAGATGCATTTCTGAGGTGGCTGAGTAGCTGGGATTTTTTTGTACTGAGAAAGTTCTCTGAATTGTGGCTTTTCCTTTTCATTTCACTTTTCCTTTATATTTCACTTATATTCCCAAGATAGCTTCATGACTTTGACAATAAATAAGATATTGAATGTTGAGAGAAAATTCTGTAATATCTCAACTCTTGGGAAAATGTAGAAGAATTTTTACAATCTCTTGATTATATGAGTGCTCTCCATAGTGTTGCGATTATATCACAACCCTGTTCCCTGTATAATTTCAGAACCAAGTGAGAAATTGCCCCAGAAATGGCTTGGAATAAAAATATTACCTTTATTATTGATAAGATTCTATCGGTGGACATGGTTTACAAGTGGGCTAAATGTGATTCCTAATAGCAAACTCCAGAATGAGGTGCATTCAGGCTTCAAGTTAAAGACATTGCTGAACACACAATATCACAGTTGTCTAACTTAAGGCATGCAGGGCGGAGTCTGACCTCTGCAGGCAAGCAAATTCCAAAGCAGAAAAATGAAGGAGGGGCTGACCCAAGCAAGATAAGCTCACTAACTCAAATTCATCAATTGTATGTCTTCCTTTCTCCTGGAAAGAATGTAGGAGAAGATGGAGGCGAAGAGTATTAATCTAATGACTGTCCTATGGGAACATCTAAGGAAAGGGAAGGAGTCTCCTCCCTAGATGAATAGTGCATAATACCTACTTTGTATATGATGAGAAAAGGCAATTTCTCACCATAACAAAATTTGAGTAGATTTTTTTTTTCAGTGCCTTATAGTCTGAGCACTTCTGGAAATTATGTTGAATAATAATTCTTAAAAAGTTTACTTCTATGAGTTACACTGTGGTACTGAACAAGTCAACTTGCCATTTTGAATTTCTACTTATCTACTTTACCAAGTGGGGATGTGGGGATGCTAACTTTCTTCATGTATCTCACCGTGCATCAGGATTAGTAAAATTGAGAACAAGTTGACCAGATCAGCTGCAGCATAATATGTTATTTCTTTTCTTTCTGATGACAATCCTTCTGCTTTCCTTCCTTCTTTTCTAGTTATATCATGAAGACAAAAATATATGGAGATCAAGTGAACTATAATTCTAAAATTTAAATTTTAAAAACAAATTTTGTGAGTCACTTCTGAGTTTGAGGAAAAATAATTGTACAAGTGTAATTTTTTAAACCATGACTTAGTGAATGAAAATGCTTAGAATATTTTAGTTTTATATGAACTACAAAAGTGTTATTTAACTGTTTTGGCTCTTGTCCATTGAATGTAGAACTCATTCACAGAAATGTTTGAGTTTAATCATCCAAAAATGTTCAAGGACAAATTTTTTTATTTCTCAATTT